CACAAAAGAAAAAGGACAGGACATTGTTGCAGAATTACTAAATGACACCATAGTATCAGATTTAATGGAATATTTTGGGGATTCTGTATGGTTAAAGGCAATGAAAACATGCTCATTTTTGTCAGCTAGGGATTGGAAATTTAGGCAGTGTGAATTTTGGATCAGAATTTATTTTGGATAGTCTTTATTTTAACATAGGAAAAACTGGAATATGATTAACTCCCTTCTCATGTATTCATGAGGAATAAACATTAAGATGCTTTTTGGTCCCATGGGCCTGGACTTTAAAAACACTCATGCAATGTCATGCATAAACAGTTTGTGTCATTATGCAGTAGAGGTGGAGGCCGTATTTGATTTTTTTAAAGAAAAGCAGGAAAGAAAATGTAAGGCAAATTAGGAGTCAATTTCTTCCTTGAGCTGCAAAAGTGATTAGTTAAGGCTATTCAGGTAGTAATAGAGATCAATGGAAGATAATAGAAGTATTTGAAACAACTTAAATAAAAGATGAGGTCCATGAATTTTCAGAATAAACATTTCAAGAAAAGTACACCAAAAATTCATGAATCTTTGTGGTTACCAAAAATAAATAATGGATATCTTATTAGTAGAACAACTTGTAGTGCATATGGATCTTTAACCATAAATGAGCATTTATAGTTCCCTTAATTATCTTTAATATAATGAAAACCTTACAGGGTGTTAATGAATCATACTATGACACATCTCTGAAGTGTTTCAAAACCTTTACATGTTTTAAAAACACTTTGATAGAGGCTGAAGACACAGCTCAGTAATTAAGAACACTAACTGCTCTTGCAGAGGACCTAGGTTCAGTTCCCAACACCCATATGGTGACTAACAACTATAATAACTCCTGTTCCAGAGGATTTCATATTCTCTTCTGACTTTGGTGGGCATTGCATGCATGTACATGATGCCCTTACATACATGTGCAGAAAACACTCATAAACATAGAATAAAAATAAGAAAATAAATAAATACTATTTTAAAAAAGCACTGTGGATACAGGAACATTATTCTGCTGTGATTCTTACCAGGATCAATTGTATGTCCATCATAAACTTCTGATGGTTGGAAGAAATAAATTTACAATTATTATTTTATGCCAAACTTGCATCACCATATGTTACTGACATTGTGAATGACCATCTAGATCCTAATAAGAATAATACTTTGCAATCCATTATATTTGAGTCACTTATACTTCAAGAAACCTGATAACTGTAATTATCTTCTTTACTACTGTTACCGAAGTACTTATACAGAAGTATTCCTCATAGTTTCAGAGAAGTACACTTGGTGATATTAAAGCACCATCAATGCCATGTTCAAGACAGTACTTGCTATTACACATCTCCAAGACATCTAGGAAAATGGAGTGCTACCTTTGCATTGTATTCATAGAATAGATTCAGAAAAACAAGAATTAAATCAGTCCTTTCCTAAATTGTGTGTCATAGGGAACTGGATAAGAGTCATATAAATAGAATGTTGAATAGGTGGAGACATCTCTTTAAGACAAATAGATATTTGGACATTGGCAATTGAATACAGTGAGTCAATTACTGAGAATTGGGATGGTTGCTGAAAGGGTGAATGGATTCAGGGGAAGTATACTGAAACCAGGATACTGAGAATTTGAGAACAGCAAAAGAGCAAGGATTTTTTTTTAATCCCAGGCAATGAAATAAGGCAGCAGAAAAAGAACAGAGAAATGTTTTCCATGAAAAGATCAGAGAGTTGGGTACTTAATGCATGACTGGAGTTGATGAACAGAAACAGGAGAACCACCTCTGCACATAGGAGACTAGAATACATGATACTGATTCAAGAAGGTTAGTGAGGTGGTTTTTAAGAGCTCTAGAGATGTTTTTTTAAGACTTATTCATTTTTTAGTTTATTTTTTGTGTGTGTGTGTCTGCATGTATCTTTAGGTGTCTGCAGAGGCCAGAGGTGCCAAATTACCTGGAGCTGGAATTACAGAAGGTAATGAGAAGCCTGATGTGAGTGCTAGGAGCTTTAGTCCTGTGAAAGAGCAGTGCATGTCTTAACCACAGTATCATCTCTCCAGCTCCATCTAAGAGAGTTTTCTTTATGTTTAATATGAAATTTATTAAACAAGTACTGTTGTGGTAATCATTGTTACTACAAAGAAAACATACTTGTTTGTCCTCTACGAGTTTTCAAACTCATAGAAATTACATTCACTTTTTAAAAATATTTTATTTATTACTATTTTTTGACTTTTATCTATCTATTTATTTATTTATTTATTTATACCCCCACTTCCCAGATAGCACCCTCCCAGAGCCTCCCTCCCCCCACTAGAGCCCTTATACTCTGATATCCCTGCTACTATCTGCTGTGTTGTCGGCACCCCCAGCCATTCCCCACTACTTGCCCTTCTGGTGAATCTAGTCAGCCTATCTAGATGTCTTTGTTTTAGGAGAGTTTTTAAACCTAGTTTTGTCTGTTTTGTTTGTGAACTATGCAGAGATGTCACAGGTAAAAGTGATAATACAGAGATGTGCTGGACATTTGAGAAAAGCAGAAGAGCTGAAGTTATCAGATTGAAAGTGGCCAAGTGAAATTATTATGAATTTATAGCTACCACACTACTATTCAAAGATATTGTCATAAACCTATAGTGAATCCAGAAGACAGAACTGTGCTATTTTCAGTAGCAACATAGTGCAACTTAAAGATTTTCATAGAATAGATGATAGGTGGGTTTAATCAGGTTGGGGGGTTACCAAAAATTAGCTTAATGGAAAAGATGGGACAAATAAATGAAATTTTTTTGCATGGAACCATGATGCTGGACAGCAGAATCCAAGTCATGCAAAAAGCAAAATGACACATTAGATAAGTAATGGACAAAGGAAAATCAGGGTTTGGGGAGATGGCTCAGTGGGTAAGTGCCTGCTGCAGTCTGAGGATCTGAGTTTGACTCCCTAGCATCCAAGTGAAATGCTGGATGTGGTCACAAATGTCTATAACCCTAACTCTGGGGGTTGGAGTTGCATTGGTGGACAGGTAATTGTCCAGCATCCACTCGCAAGTCAGTCTAGCCAATAAGTGAGCATGGGTTCAGTAGGAACACTATCACAAAACATAATATTGACAGAAATCCAGGATGACAAGCAATATCGACGTATGACACCCAGCACACATACATGCACACACGAGGCACACACAAACATAGTACACACAAAAAAGGAAAAGAAAAATCAGTAAGAATCAGTATAGAATATTTTGGATAAGTCAATAAATATATAAATAATTTGTATCAAATTGGGTAATAACCAGAAAGAATTATATTTGTAACCTAGAGGTTGAAAATGTTATAATTTTCAGGGCATTGTAGTCTAGAGTGTGACCCTGGGAGTGTGTATCTAGAAGAGGGAGACAGACAACAAAAGTAGGAGTAAAGGAGTTAAAGGATTTATTTGTGAAGATATATGTTGACCATTTTCTGGGGGTTCAATATTCTATCAAAGAAGAAAGGGAAAGAATTCTGGGAACCAGGAATTTAATTACTCACTTGGTGATAAATATAACAAAGTGTTTATTAAACTATGGTGCTACCTGTGCCAACATGTAGTATTTTAAAGAAGAAAAGAGATGTACACAAGAAGACGAAGAAATTATGAAAAAGTAAGTTATTTTTCCCTCCATAATCTTTGCAATATCAGGAACTGTGTGCAAATGTAAATTCATTGACAGTATTCAAGGGCAAAACAACCTCTGCATTAGTGAAGAAGCTGAAATTAGAATAATGTGGTGAGTGACACACACATGTCCATGCACAGCATGAGAAGAGCAACGATGAAATACGTGTCAGTGTCTGTGGGTGTGTTTAACTTTGACTAGTAGGTAGAATTAGCAAAGATGGAAGAGTGACAGTGTAAGAAACACAGCACTAAAGTGTGAGGACAGCTAAAGAGAGAGGAATGTCAGACCAAGTGAAAGGAAAGGTTGGAGAAAGTCTTAGAGTTCATAAACCATGTTAATGCCAAGACTACACATACACAATATTTCTCAGTGTTCCCTATTTATAAAATTAAATGCACATTTTCCATGTGGTTTCCAGTGCTCAATCTTCTTCAATTTCCCTGAGAATTCCACTGTACAGGAGCCTTGTAGGTCTCTGAAATCATTGGAATTTACTGAATATGCTGGACATATCAATAATAATTAGTGATTTACCAGCATTATTCCTTTCAATGTTTACTTAGATTTCTCCATTCTAGAATATGGCTTTGTGAAGAGTTTAATCTGTGCTTTATACTTCATTAAATTCATTCATATAACCCATAAAGTGTCTTTATAGTTAAGTGTTATTGAAGTAATACAATTGATGAACTATATAAGTGCTCATTACTTTGGTGCTGACTCAAAATTATTTTCCTAGTCAGAGACACAAAGTCAAATACACTTCTATAGAAAATCAAATTCTGTAGTTCAGCAAAGCATTATGGGTTAGCATCATTGTTTTAACTACAATTAAAAAGAAAATATATACTTAATGAATACCTCAAAAGAAACCCTCTCACAAGACAGCTTGGTATGTGGCAAATATTCATTGAATAATTGAGTTGTATAAAGATGACCAGACATCACAGATACTCTCAGCAATGACCCCACTAATTATCTGTTTAATTTAATATCACCCAAAGAGTGAGCAAAGGAGATTTGAAAGCTATCACACCAATATCCATTATCAATTTAGATTTCTACAGGTAAATCAATACTATTATTTTCATCACTGACGTTATCAACATTACTCAGTGAGGACTGGATGGAGCTCTTCATCTTTCAGTTTTCCCTTCTACTTCTACAGAATTACACATACCCAATTTCTATTCATGAGTTATTATTCACCATAAGTTATTCAGAAGTGCTTTTTGTTGTCTAGAAATGGAAGGAGGAAGTGCTCTGGTATCTACAGCATGTGTTTTTTCCTTCATCCTTACCATATGATGTCCAGGTAGCAAGTTTGGTCTTGTGTTTGATTTGATAGCAACACTCAGTGAGTTTCCACACCTATTATAGAAAATATTTGAAATATTTATTTAATCTTTAACACAAAATATATATTTCAATGCTAATATGAACAGATAATCAATGATGTAACAATTTACTTTTATAAATCAACAGGCAAACCAACCCTACATAACGCTATAAGTAAATAGTACTCAAAGTCACTTTGAATAGCCTCTGGCATATTTTAACCATAATCTGTTATGCTCTAACCTTCAAATTAATTAATAGTATTGTTTATTATTTACATTTTAATAGTATTTCTCTTACACACAGGTAAGGAATCTTGATACTATGTCTAAAGTAAAAATTCTTGAAAATATTGTATTTTGACCATTCTTGTGACTTCTATGCCCCTCCTCATTAAATAAACAAGATGAAACTTAAAAATAGATTGTCATTAGTGGCTACAGAATACCAGGACTAGACTGTGATTCTCATTTCTAAATGTGACTTTTCTCTCTGCTGCACTCCCAGACCTAGAATAAGTATTTATTCAACAATACGTATTCACTTTAAAAATTGATGAGGAATGTAAGGGTAAAGTTTGTTCTTTCAAAGCTTCAGGATATATTATATATCTGTATATCTGAAATATATTGAATCAATTAGGATTCATCTTGGAGCGCTTCATACTTCTTTCTTTAAAATACCAGGTCTACTTTACCTCGGTACCTGTGCAGTCTCCTTGACAGTGTGACTTGGTTGACTCTGTTGCTTGTGACAGTGAGGAAAGAATCTTGAGCAGGCAGGAATACTAGAGGAAAAAACAAATGTGGGCAGGGGAGGGTCTCTGAAAATGAAATTTAGTCCTTACTTTTTTAAACATTTATTTTTTATTGTTTGAGAATTTCATACACGCTTGTTTTGGTGAAACCCACCCTTTTATTCCCTCTCCTATTCTGCCCTCTCCCCTATCCTCTCCCACTACTTTCCTCTTCAAACTTCCTGTGCTCTTTTTCATATACTCACCGAGTCTATTCAGTGCTGCCTTTAAGTGCACGATTGTAGAGCAATCTACAGGAGCATGAATAGCCTCTCAGGGTCTCATCCCTGAAAGAAATTGGCCTCTATCCTCTAGAAGTCATCAATTGCCAATAGCCCCTGAGATATGGGTAGGACTTCATGAGTCCCACCCCTCCATGCTGGTATTTTGGCTTGCTTGATCTTGTGCAGGTCTTGTAAAGCAGTCACACATGTTTTGAGTTCATTCATGCAATGGCCCTGTCTTATCTAGGAAATATTGTTTGGCTGAAGGCATTCATCACCTCTGACTCTTACAGTCTTTCCACTCCTTCCGTAATGATCCCTGAGCACTGAGAGGAAGGGATGTGATATAAATGTACCATTTAAAGCTGAGCACTCCAGTCTCTTATTGTTTCCTTGTGGACTAGTTGTGGGTCTCCACATTAATCACTATCTGCTACAAAAAGAACTCTCTCTGATGAGGGTTAACAGATGAATTAAACCATGGGCATAAAGATTAGAACTTAGGAAGGTGTTCAGCACTATATCCACTCAGCAGAATAATGGTATTAGGGTCTCCCCTAGGGCCTATGACTTAGCTTTTGGTCAAAATTATCTACATCAGTTTTCTGCTTTTATCTTTAAATTTAAAACATTCTTATTATAGTATGTGTGTGGTAGGGCAAACTGTGGCATGGATTACATATGAAGGTCATATGGCAAATTTGTGGAGTTAATTTTTCCTTATACTTTTAAGTGGGTTCTGAGGATGGAACTCAGGTTACTATCTTTTACCCATAGAATCATTTCATAGTTCCCCCAGATTTGAGCTTAATCAAGTGTCATAAGCTTCTCAGTTTCCCAAGCACCCCCCCAAATAAAACATAATGCCATATAATATTTTTCTTGAATGTGAAATTGAAGGTAATATATTTTAACTATTCTAACAAAATTTTCACAAGAAAATATCAGCTCCCAGTTTGAGGATCAGGACATGGCAGAAAGAAAATCACCCCCAAATAGGTCCATATGTGTTAAAAAATATTTCAGATTACTTTGCCATTTCTCTCTGGCCTGTAGATGGAACCAGTTCTCTGAGGAGAAGTTCTGGTTTGACAGACACTGTAGCTGCAGCACCATTACTCTCTGATGCTCCTCTGGGTACTGCGGTATCCAGGTGCCTTGTCATGACAGTCTACGGTTCAGATTAGGACTTCCTTATAGAAAACAGTGGATATAGAATCCACACCAACTTATCAAACACTTAATTTGCTTTTTATTTTTCTATGTAATGAATTATTGACTTATTCAGGGAACTTAAATGTTACTCTAAGGTCTATGTCACCTTTGAAAAATTAATTCTCAGTTTTATATAAAAGTGGCACCTCTCAGTTGTCCTCTTTAAGTTTACCTTCCTACTTCATTTACCTTTGGATCATGCCACTTTGCCTTGTGGAATTTACATTCAATCTTTCAGGATATGAGCAAAGATTAGTATTATAAATTTCATATTAACCCACATCTGTTTTTATGCTTTTCAAAAGGAAAACAAATAATCCTTTATGTAAGAAATATTATATTTTGTATCTTTCCTTCATATTCTCTTCCATTTGTTCTTCAAAAGCAGCTTCTGTGGCACTTCCTCAGGGAATATCTTTCTGGCTGATCACCATCAAAAGAATTCTATATGCCACAAAATATGCTTGCATTTCAGTTATATCCATTCACTCCACTCTCTAATCCAATGTCCTCTCTTCTAAAGGTTATGAGTCTCAAGTGCAGGTATTGGCCCTTTCTATCCCTGTGTTCTGCTCACCTGTCACAATAGCTAAACCATAAGAGGCCACAGGGTAACCTTCGGTTACTTCAACACTCCTTTGGTAACTTTCGTCTTTCATTTTTGGAACCTTTGTCTATCCTTTCAAAAGTAAATGTAATCAAAGTTCCTGATCAGTTTTATGTGTATAACAACTAAATTTGATTTCATTATTTTAGATAGAAGATTTTAAAATATCACTTATCATTTCTTTTAGATTTTTTAATCAAATGGCTTTTAGCTTGAATCATTTGATCATTCACTTTGATAGAGTGACTTCAAGTCTGAAGGATTCAGTTAACACCTGAGTTCGTATGTAAAACACTAATGGTATTATCTCAGCTACGGTGTGATCATCAGCAGCCCTAACATGTATAAAGCATGAAAACATAAAATATCTACAACTCTTTATCACCATTTTCATCCTGTTTGTTAAGGCTCTCTTCATCATTTTATTAGCTCTGAACATATTCAAATAGAAGCAGCAACTGGAATCTTACTCTCTGAAGAAGCACCAGGCAACTGCATAGAGACATATCACAAAGAGAGCTCCTGTTAGAGTGAGGACTGCAAGAAACCAGCTGTCAGGCCTCCAATAGTACGAGATCTTCCTTAAGACAGAGGTAGTCATCTGAGAAAATGCAATAAATAGTTTACTAAGCATTAACACTGCAATTGAAAAGAAAAGAACAGTACATACTGAAGTTTTTGTTTTTCCTTCCTATATTACTGAATTGGAATTAATATTTGTAATTTACTTGAAAAATAAAAGATTCACATAGCTGGGGAAATGGCTCATTGGGTAAGAACACATGCTAAGGAAGTGTGTGGGTGTGAATTTGAATCCCTAGCCTCCAGTTTAAAAGCTGGTTATATTTGTGTCTGCCTATAACCCCAGGACTGGAGGGTGGGGACAGGCAAATTCCAGGAGTTCAGTGTTGAATCATCTTAGCTGAAACAGCAAGCTGCTGGTTCAGCAAGAGAGCCACTCAAGGAATAAGACATAAAGCAATAGAAGATACTTCATGTCCCCCTCTATACTCAACATGCAGGCCCGTGAATTGTGTGCCTACAACTGGGCAACATATAATACACACAACATAAATATAAACTCACATACAGCAAACTAAAGAGCATAATAAATTAATTCTTCTTTCTGATATTAAAAGCAAACTATTTTTCTCTGAAGCAGTGTCTTAGTTCACAACATGAGTTACCTGACAGAGTGACATCTCCAGCTCTGCACTTATAACAAACCTGACCTTGAGGTAAAAGTTCTAATCCCTACCCTCTTTATTCATGTATCTACTGTAACATTCAGAAAATTCTCCATCTTTATTTTCTTTAATCATGGTTGTTCCTACTGAGAAACAAACTCTTATTAAACAAGAACTATTTCTCACTCAACTTTGTGAATAGTATACAGATCTTGGTAGGGTTGTGTTGATGTGTGCTCGCTAAATGACAGGATGAAACAGCAAGTTCTTTATAGGGCAAAACATTATTTCAAAACATGAGCCACAATACTGTTGGCTTTTTTCTGTTTCTTCCCCATAAAATCACAGAAAGTTTTTTCCCCTATATAAATTTCCATTACCATCTAAACTGTGGCCTAAGACGCTACCAAGATAAACTCAACAGATTATAACCTAAAGCACTTGACTAAGGAGCAGTATTCTCCAGCAGATGGCAGCATAAGATAGGTTAAATTTTGTAACATTCATTAGGCAGGACAGTTAAGGTAAAGTTATTTGTGAGTCTGGATACATAGAAAGCAAGGAAATAAATAGGGGGAAAAATGATGGTAGGGGGAGACCTTTGCAAAGGAGGATCAGCCAGTGACAGAGGAAACAAAAAGGGCCTTGCTTACCTGATTCGGTGAAAGGAAATGATTCTTCTGTTGGATTTGGGTGGTTGTTGAGATTAAACCTTGTGTGACTAGCCATTTGAGATTAAACCTTGTGTGACTAGCCATTCTATTATGTAATACACTAAGGAGGGCATGTCTGAACAAAGACAGGTGGGGAAATCAGACAATGCCCCAGAGTGTCACTACTTGTGAAATGCTCTGCTCTAATTTTCATAAATAAACAATATTGTGCTGCATTTCCAAATAATAGTAAACCAAAAGGATGACAAATGTTTGGTTTGTCACTTAATCACACAGCTTTCTTTTCAGATCCTTTAAGAAATAGTTAAGCATGGAGGTACACCCTTGATGCTCCAGTTGGGGGAGGCTGAAGCTGGTAGATCACTTGATCCACAGAGTTTAGAGTGGGCAACATAGCAATACTCCCTCTCAGAAACAATGATGATGATGATGAGGATGATGATGATTATGATATGGGCAACAAGCACATTTGCCAGCCTATACTTATTTATCTTCTTCTACCCTCCATCCCTCCTTCTCTTCCTTTCTTCTAACTAGTATTTATTAAATGTTTGTTATGCTCCAGGAATCACTATATAAAGGACACATAGAACCATTAAGCAAAAGAAAGGCAGGCATAGCCTGTATTTACCAGACACTGTGGGCCATGATTGGTGCCAAAGTATGTTACCTAGTAACTTCCCCTACTTCTCATGTCAAAGGAGAGGGATTCACCAAGGCTAGTCTGCAAGGCAGAAGCTGAAAGGAAGGCTGTGTCTGAGCATCTTGTCCAGTACCAGATCCACAAGTAGCAGAACTGGGTTCACATACAGATATGTGTCCCAAAGGCCACATTTTTTCAGTGTAATAGGCTACTTACCCTCAAAATTAAGATATAAGAATATTAAGAAAAAAATCCAATCTGCAGCAAAGCATCAAGGCACCATCTTACAAATGGCCACCGTGGCTCTCATGTAATTATACTGTAGAAAGCTAACAGCATTTGAAAATAGCCCAGAGTTCTTGTACTTGACTTGCCTAATGACAAGGAAAGATTTAGTGTTTCTTTTTTCTCTATTTTGTCTTTTCATTCATCTGCTCACATAAAATGCATCTAAAGCCTTTGTCTTGAAAAAGACATATTTAATTTTCAAATATTTCAAAGACTTCTCATACAAGATGGGATAATACTTTGAGTTGTGTTATCAAAAGATCAAAATCTACCTACAGGGATTAAATATAATATTAATGGTTTCTATTTACAAACCATGTTTATTACAAGAGCTTTCATGTCTCTTCTTTCATTTGATCCTTACAATAACTTTTGTACAATGAGTACAACTGTTGTAATATATCTAGTAATCCCTGAACACTGGGTAAATATTTAAATGTGTATTACGTGCAAGCTGAACTCCCTCTCTACACACTTTCAATTGGTGATTCAAAACAACTTGAAAGGATTCAACATGATATTTCATATTCTCAATGTTGGTGTGGCTTAGTAATTCATCACTTATGTGCTAATAGTCTTAAAATCTCCAGAGCATAATCACCACGAGGACAAGGGACTTAGCTCTGGCCTTGCACCTTGTCTTCCACCCAACTGAAATTGCTGCCTGTGTTTTTTCCCTTCTATTCTATAATCTGATGCACCTTTGAGTCTACAACTCTGAATTATATTGGTATCATACAAAAAGACAAAGTTCCAAGTCCATAGCTTTATCTGTCTTCCTTAGAACTGCTTGACTGTCCCTGTCACGGTCCTCCTGCCACACACTTGACCACTTGACTGTACTCCCTTTATGAATGAACCACATGCCTCACATCTACACTCCTCTATGCTGATGCTGCTAATGAGTCTTTCCTTTTATTTTATCAAAGGCCTACCTAAGATTCCACTATCTCTTCTGCGTCTCAGATGTTTTGTGCCAGAATTTGCTACACTCTCTGCCCTATAGTCATTTACTCTTCCTTTGTTGCACTTATCAAAATTACTTATAAGTTAATTTACTGGAAACCAATCTCTAAACGTACTGGAACCGCTTAATCATTGTATGATATGACCTCTTCTTCTTTATATTTCTTCTCTTTCACAATCCATTCACCATTCAGAAGATTCCTCAAACTTCAAGTCTTTCTCTGCCTTTAATAATCTTCCTGATTCTATCACTTAGTCTGTGACCTTGAGAACAGAATTTAAACTTCCATTGTATCCATTAACTTTTTTGTAATAGGAGGGAAAAAATGATCAATCTTTTGAATTGATTAAATCAAATCATGGATTTGTTCAATGTAAACAGTGTGCGAATACTAACAAACATGAATTTATTACTAGGTTAAGAAATCTTACTCAAATATTAATTGCATTATGTTCTCCTAAGGATACTGACTTCAGATACGAAATCTTGAATGTGTGGAATTCATTTTAGATCATGTATTTATTATTATCACCATGTGTCCTTTCTAAATTTGCTTTGAAGCATTGTATGAAACACGTTTCCAATGCTTTCCTGTTTGCCTAAGGAGACAACTCATAGACACCCACACAGTCAAACACTTGGGCAGTGCCTCTTCCCAGTGATCAGGAGTGATGCAGTGAATGGCTCATATTTGCAGGACTTTGTTATGTCATTAGATGTTCATCTCACCATTAGGTAAAGCACTGGTGAAAACAGAAGAATTTTCCCTCTGTCACTTAGTCATACACTAAGCGTCTTACAGCTGCATGCAATTAATTTAGTTTGATTCATAACCTTAATTACTTAACTTGTTATGCTTTATGGAAAAGGGAATAATAATCTCTCCTGTCATGAAATCTTTCATCAGTGGGTATTAGAGTCACAACAGATGTCCAAGTCTAAAACCTAGTAGATTACAATTTACATTATTTCTACAACTTTCCAAATTATTTTATTAACACTGAATACTCTTTTAAAAGATTGTCAATAAATATTTTAAAAATGTTCTTGGTTCCTTAAGAATTTCATACAGTATATTTTTTTATATTCAGACACCCTTCCTCCCCTCTCCACCCCAGCTTACTAATTCCCCAACCTTGGCTTCATGTCCTCTAGTATTTTTATCTTTTTAAAGGCCTATCAAGTCTAATTTGTGTTCCTCAAATGACTGAAGTTTTTAATTCAGGTTTCTATATTGTATCTCAAATTCATTTCTAAATACAGACTAGACTTCTATTGATAATGTTAGTTTTTTAATAGTAAACTTGTTAATTTAAGCAGACATCATGGTGTTACCCACTTGCTTAAGAAATAATAAAAAGTTATGAAATAAATCATTGACAATTTTAGTATTATGTAGAAGGCGTAGAATTTTTCCCTTAGTGGAGATTATAAATGATATCTAGTGGTTCGTGCCTGATGCTTTGAAACAATCTGCTGTGCCTTTTCAATCAACTAATAGGCATGTATAAAGAATGCTAAGGATTAACTGCATCTTATGTTCTGACCACTGTGCTAGGAGGAGCTGTTAATAATCTCTATTGACAGACTGGAAACTGAGGCTCAATGCGGTAAGTGACTCAGCACAGGTCTCCAGAGTAATAGAGGAGAAGAGCTGAGAGTCAAGCCAGGACCTGCCTAATTACTAAGGCTACTCTTCATGCCACTCACTTGGACCAAAGATTGTTTGCTATCAACACGAAACTATTTTAGCAGAAACTATGTAACCCGAGATGATAAAAGTTTAAGAATTTAAAGTTAGAAGTATTTGCTGAGCATTCTTATAATAATAACAATAATAAT